GCATGTTCTCCATAAAATATCTATGAAAAGAGTTATGTTTCACCATCTCCAGTGATAATTTTAAGAAAACAAGAGGATCCATGGTTCTTCCTATAAGAAAAAACATTAGAAAAACACATAAAGAACAATAATAGAATTTTTAAAAATGGAAATAAGTGTCATTAAGTCTATGTAAATAGTTTTCAGAACAATATGCAAATAGATTTCATAACAAACTTTCAGTTGATACGTACTTACTTTAATATGTCCAAGTGATATTCTTTCAATCGTGCAAATTGTTCCCCGTGTTACCTTTTTGCACTTATCTATTGTTGCAACTGAATTCCATTGTTGTTGGACCTAGTCTTGCATCATTTTCGGTTTCAGCTCAGGATCACTTCTTATATCATTTAAATACAATCTAGCAATAATTTATTGGCTCAATGTTCCAATGTGTAACTTGAAGGTTTTAAGGAACATTTTTGCTTGTACAATGAAACTTGTGAGTGTTGATGGTGAATCTTTCATTTCGGAGTCATATTTTTATCCCAAGAATTGTATCGTACAAAATAAAATCTACCAAACTATCTACTAGAATTTTAGAAATTTTTCAATTAGCAAAGTACAACTAGAGTACCACATCTTTTCCATGTTATTTATCAAAATTTTGTTTTCCACTTTTGGTGAAAGTGATGAGGCCCGATTATGGGGTGTGTTCACTGTGTATTAGGACAAGACCCATTTACTTTTTACAATTTTTCTTGTATTTTAGGACCTAAATTTTAAAAATTTATGTATAAAAAACCCAAAAATTTTACGACTTATCGATATGGCAAAAAAAAAAAGGGTTTGGCACATGGCCCATGCTTAGTTTGAGTCGGGCCTGAAAATGATAACAGTGTTTGGCCGAGATATGAACTATTTTATAAAATCAAATGTGACCCTAAGCTGGTATGCTTTTACTGAATAGATTGGATAATAGCAAAACCACAATCCTTCCATGTTAAATGTTTCTTTTGTCGTAGGCATCTAAGGCGTATGTATTCCTATTTAAATTACGTTTACCTTT